ATATATATATATATATATATATATATATATATATATATGACCCAGGAAAATGTCACCAGTATCCTCCGTGCATCACCAGTGGTAAGGTGTTTTAGTTACTGGGAAAACGCTTTAATAACCGAAAGACTACTCGCTCAGCTCATCTGTCCCATCGAATACTGTGTAAAGCACCATTCAAATGCAGTGGTAAATTGTGAACTCTCCTAATCATCTGGCTCACAGAATTAGAAAGACTACTCAGTTCGCTCATCTGTCCCATCGAATACTGTGTAAAGCACCATTCAAATGCAGTGGTAAATTGTGAACTCTCCTAATCATCTGGCTGTGTGCACAGAATTACAACCTAGCGATGGATGCAAAGGAATGCAGATCACCAAGACCCATACACGCACTCATATGTACCCAATACTGTAGGCGAGTTATTAGAACAATGTGCGATGGTAACTAAATAAGTGACCAGTCTCCAGCTTCCCAAATGAAGCTGGAAGCTGAAATATCTCCTAGAAAGGCTCACCGGATGTATGAAGAATGTTGCGCATCACATGGTCATACTACAAAATGGGTTGACAAATGGTCTTAGACTACGCATTTGTGATTCAAGAACACAGAAATTTTTACCCCCAAGCCAGGCTGTGCTATTCCTACCATCCCATTGTTATTCTTCAGATGATTAATTTGCTTGAACTTCTGGCGCTACCTAACATGATGAGTTATGTAGTTACTCTGAATGTTAGATTCCAATCTTTGACCAAGTCGATAAAAGCTAGTGAGGCAGCCAACGCACGGACACTGGATCCACTTGTGAAGAATCTTTACAAAATGGTACCCTCAACGCTCGTAACATTTCTGGTGGCCATCGGGTTCCATACATGTTCGTCGAGCTCCGTCTCAAACGCAGCCAACCAGTTGGATATATGGTGTGGAGCTGATGGGCAAAATTTCGCACAGCCATCAAATTCATGTTTCTACACAAAAAACATTAGCGCTGTTCCTTTATACAGGCTAGTCAACCACTATGCCGACAGCATGGCGGCAAATGAACCGAAGTCGGGAATGTTCAGCAACGAGTGTTGCAGTTACCACATGCATGTGCACTTTGCGTGGAGACAGGCTGACGTTCGTCTATCCAGGGTTAGTTATTCTCTTCTATTTCGCATATTCAAACAACAGAGTATTTTTACGAAAATTCTTAGGTGCTTGACGATGAACTTTTCAATACACAATAAAATTATTTTCCATTAGATTGTGTCCACTTGATAAGTGGAGGTAGCCCTGCCGTGCAGATCTTGTTCAGCACAATACTCTATCTTGAAGGCGTTATACCTGCTCTGTAAAAGAACACAGGCATATTTCTAATGGAGATTTCGTTCTGTAGATGGAGTCAATCAATACTGAATAGTCGGAAAGCACTATAAAGCTGTTTCATCCCCACCGAGAATCATCATTTTTGCGTATCTCATGATACGCTATGGAGTCTCTAGCCCCCAACCTCCTGGCTAGTAGTTCAAATATTCAACTGTTCATCGACGAACAGCTAATCAGAGTTGTAAGTAGCCTGTACTTAGGCAGGATGCTGTAGCTGCACAGCGCTTCTCGGCAGTCCAATATAGATTGGCTACACTTGCAAGGCTGTTTGCACTACGGACGAAATTGCAATTGTAGGACGAACAGAAACCAGCTGAGTCGCGTCACTATTGCCGGTTGAATATATTTCATACATAACAGGCTCGGAAGTGGGTGACCACACCCAGCTTGATACAGTTTTAAACCACCACACCATCGGGAAGGTTTGCATGGACAACAGGTTGGTTTGTTCAAAAATCCCTATAAAACGCTAGTGCTAATTTAAGTGAGCACAGCTCGATTTGGTAGGTGTTTTACCTACGTTTTATATCGTTTTGTAGACCTGCTTTTTAGAGATTGGGTTCGTGGAACGTTTATGCGTTCAGACCGCTAGTGCCATCAGAGCATGCTCCAATGGGCTATCGGGACTTATGGATGGCCAGCCCAAGCTCCTCTTGTGGGGCAAGCGATGTCAGGGCAATGTCCTTCTGAAGTGTCCCATTCTCATCCCCCCCCCTAAACTGCATGATAATAATGTTTTTGTAATAATATTTTTTTGTAATAATGTTTTTGTTATCCTAATTTATGCTGAGCTGGCACGTCGATACAATAAGAAAATGAAATTATATACATGATATATGCATAATATTATAATATGCACGTCAATTAATATTGCCCACTTCACAGGATAAGAAGAGTTCCAAAATTCATGATTCCCAGTAAGGATAGATTTCATCCGTGCAAGCACTGTACCTCCGAGAAATCGATATGCACAACCTATCTATAAAGTCGTTATTTTGACACTGATACTGAGATCATTACGTCCCCACTTGTAAGATTGCTGGTCCCATATAAGCAATACAGAAGTACGTACATATTTTTTATTCCGAGAACTATACCATTTTTCCTGTGGTTCGATAGATTCGCGTCTCTTCAAGACGTAATTTTGCAAACATTCGTCCCTTCTTCAGTGCTTTCAGACCAAAGATCTTTCCGCTCCATTCACAGATAGTGGAGGTATGGTGTGAAACATAGGCCGTTTAATACATTTTTACACAAAGTTTAGCTCAGCAAGATATGGCCAACCGCACCCCAGCTGCGGCCAGATTGGTTCGGTTTGAGCCTAAAATGAATGCTTTATATGCTTATATTTTATCCCGTTGAGCTAGATAATGTTTCCTGGATAGGCAGTACATGTACGTACAGTGACTTTCCTACGAATAAAATTGCTTAAAGAGAAAATTCTCACACGAAAAGATCATTTCACCCCTCAGTCTTTCTACCGCAGACAAAGTGTGAACAATTTGTCTAAATACAACGATTATATTCGGATTTAAAACGAGATCCATGAAACTGTTCAACCTGCCACATGAACACAACTTTAGGAATTGAAAATCGGGTGAAGAAAATGTTGGAATCACCTTGTTTGATCGATGTTCTTATTGACTCAAACCTGCGTTTGAACTTTTCTCTTGTATTCTCCTTTCATAGGTCTGTTTTAGTGGATTTTGGTCTGATGTTATTCTTTAGTATACTTATGATGTCACTGTTCTTAGGCTTCTATGGTGGATCGACTTGGCATTTCTGTTAACCCACATGGTTAGTTACCACCCTCCTGCACTTACTCCAACAAGTTGTCACATATCCTGGTTCTCACAATAGTAGTAGCCAAATCATATGAAGTCATGCAAGCGTTACTAACTTATTGTGAAATCAGATTTACCAAGCACGGATTGAAAGTGAAAGGTAAACTCCCGGGCTTTTTCGAAGCTGTTTCTTCTCCACTCCCGTTATTTCCAATTTGTATTTGATGTATTTACGAATATTCGGGTCACTGACACACTTTATCCCTGTTTCATGATGACTTTCATGATTCCAGAGGATCCATTCAAACCATGTGACGTAAATGGCTATGTTTCTTCGTAAACAAAACACCTCCCCTCGGATATCGCTTAGTAACCCGTATTTACCGGCTAAAGGGAGGAATAGCCTTGAAATCAACCTATCAATGCTTAGTCAACGAACCCGTTACATTCTGTTATTTAGGTCGCCCTAGCCTTGCAAAACAACCGATGGAAAATTGTTGGTTCAAATTTGGTTAGCTCCATAGGAACACTTATCGAATTGCCTGCCAAGGGAACGATTGGTGAGCTTCTCGATTTCTTGTTTGGATGTTACTGCTTCGCGGTGCCACAGAGTACAATTGTGGGAGATGCGACGGTCTACGTTTCAAATTTCCGCAGCTCCAGATCATCTACAATCGATCAGGCACTGTTGACTGAGACAACACAGAACTTTTTGAAATTGGCTGCTCCCGGATCCTATTATCTGGCTTGGTCCGATGCGCCTGAAATGGTAAGCAGTTTCCGTAGTTTGTTTTCGTTTTGCTGAGGGACTGTCAAATTAGAAAGTCAAGAGTTTGCATGCCGAATGATAAGTGGAATCGAACTGAGGAAACAACCCACTATTGTTAAAAGCTGTTTGTCAAACTTTGCTCTCTATCAAAAGGAAAGACAGCTGTCCAGTTGGACGGCTTTAGCTACGTTTTATTTGCTAGTTTCCAGATTGCTCACAGCAACCAAATTCTCCATCACAGCTTATTTGTCGGTCGACCAATACCTTATGTTTCTTCTGCTAGGATAGCATTTATTCGGCTGTATAGCGGAGCAAAACTATTTCAAAGGTATGTCTGCATGCTCGCTAGTTATTCCTTGACCGGATTGCCACAATACAGTGATAATGGTTGGACCTTTCCGTCGTCAGCCACAGTTACGAGCCGTGTACGGTTCTACCTGACACGTCGTTTGCACTGCATTTTGAGTGATTACATAGGTGTGTCATCGCGTAGCACGGAGAACCCAAAGCATAATTGCGAAAATGCGGAGTCTTCACTGTCGGTCTGCATTCCCTGACTGAAACAGGTGGCGTGGCCAACCACTTTTGAGACATGAAAAAGAAGCAAATCGGAGGCCGAATTCTCGTTTTGCACTTTCATACAGGCCTAGACATCACCGGAACAACACTTACAAGTTCTCCATCAATTTTAATCAAGAAAAATCATTTCATTCCTATTAAGATTTTCTCTCCTTATACATCTGTTTTGTATGCCAACATTACACCCCACGGGGGGAATGTAGGAAAATTTGTTTCGGAGGGGTTCGGTAGACAATCGGTGGATTTATTGCCGGGCAGCTTTTGACACAAAAGCTTCGTAAGGCCAAGTGAGTAAGTAAGTAGATTGATTGGGTTTCAAAGCAGTCAGGGGACCAATCCGTGAGATTTCTTATGCCTAGCCGAATTAATAGGTGCTGGGTTAGTCTGATGTTCCTGTTTGTTGGTTAACAGCTACGATGGATTGGTTATGGGGAGAGTTTGTCTTCATGTTGAACCCGAATTTTTTCGGCCTTGATTTTTCTATCTAGGAAACCTTAATGGTATATTCTTCTTGGAGTCGTTCACAAAAGCAAAAACAAGGGAAAAGGCACAGAGGTTAATGAATCACGACGTTCTACGGATCACCACATAGTCAAAAGGAGTATTGGAAGGAGAAAAGCCAGAAAAGGCCTAGACAAGTTGTTTTCGAACATGGAGTTTTGGGTTTCACAGTCAGATTCCGACAGCCTTTTATATCGATGGCAGACTAAATCGTTTACTTTGAAGCCGGATCAGGAGGACACGGTATATACATAGGACAGTAAGTTCACTGTTGCGATAGGTGAAGGTTCTGCCAAATGTGACACGCTTCAGGCACTATTAGGAGAAACAGCTTACCCGTGAGAATGGAGATCCAACTTCCAGTGCACTAGATTATTAATACTATTATTAATGAGGCACTGTGCCTCCAGATCTATTTTGCCAAAGAGGAAAGATGGTACAGGTGGTGAGAACACTCAAACGTCGGGGTGGTAGTGTTTTCTTCAGGGTTTCAGCCTCAGTACACCTCATGTGTTTGCTTGCTTACTGTCCATGATGTTCTCCTGTTCAGGTTCGAGTCTTCACAGCCCTTAAATACGAACAACTGATTTGTGGAGATACCCCAATGGGCAAAAACCCATGCCATTGGAGTCGCGTTGGAATGGATGACGAGGAAGCCAAATCTCGATGTCTATATAGGATTCAAAAGATAGCGTGAACAACGCCGCCGGGATTTACAAAGTACATTATCATTTTATGGTTCACCTCTCTTATATTTATCTATAACCCATATTCCTCATTTCGCACGTCATGGTTTTAGTGATCACAAATACAAGTTCCAGTATTGCATCCTTTTAACCTTTCACTAACTCTTATTTGACGGTTATATTCCACGGGGAGCTTCCCCGTAAGCTCCGTGACTACTAACATTTTTACACAAGCAACATTTACATATATTCGGAATAGACAGCTGTCGACAGTGCCCCTAGTATGAGTGTAACAAAAGATGGAAAACTTTCAAGTGGGACGAAGACAAAGTAATGCACGATGAGTACATTGTGTTGTGAGCTATTTACTAGCCTCCTTTTTAACATGCTTCACTGTGTCATGACAAACTAGATGAAGCGAATATTGTTTACCGATATGTCTCTGTTACTTGTAAGTACTTGTAAGTACGCGCTGCTCGGGCTTTATGAAGGGTGTAAAGAGGGGGTACTGGTAGCATCAAGTAGCAAGAAATCGGAAGGGTTGCAAAGTAATAAATGAATAGGAAAAGGGTGCATTACGATCCCACGACGACGAGTGATCTGCTTAAGGAGCAAAACAATCAAACTCACATCTACGAATGAATAAGAACTAGTTAGGTCTGATTCTTAACCCTGTTTTCTTGGTTACACTGAACCAGGCATGCTTGACGCATATTCTCCTTATAGCACAAGGACGTGGATGAAAAGTGACAGATAACACAAAGTACTTGTAAGTACGCGCTGCTCGGGCTTTATGAAGGGTGTAAAGAGGGGGTACTGGTAGCATCAAGTAGCAAGAAATCGGAAGGGTTGCAAAGTAATAAATGAATAGGAAAAGGGTGCATTACGATCCCACGACGACGAGTGATCTGCTTAAGGAGCAAAACAATCAAACTCACATCTACGAATGAATAAGAACTAGTTAGGTCTGATTCTTAACCCTGTTTTCTTGGTTACACTGAACCAGGCATGCTTGACGCATATTCTCCTTATAGCACAAGGACGTGGATGAAAAGTGACCAGATAACACAGATTTCGACCGTCCTTTCGGTTAAAGCAGTTGCGTGGCGTGTAAGTGCTTGGAGTTTCAGACTGGCACCATTTAGTGGGTTTAGGCAAGCTCCTCCAAACTATTCTGGTCTGATCGAACAGTATGTTACAGATTTCTGAGAGCGCAAGGTGATACTTGAATCTCCCCTTTATCTATTCTGTTAGGTTGGATTTCCAGGTGCAATAACCCTCCATATTTTTTGCTCACGGATTAGCAATTTCAGCTGTCTGCTTGGTTACCTTTTTGACTATCACTACAATCTCCACACCGAAATGAACTAAGTCAGTTTTATCCGCCCATTGAAGTTCAAAAACCGCAAAGTGTCCGATTTGAAAGCTGTTCGGAAATCACGGGTAGCTAGAACTGCGTAGTTCATTTCGGAGTACCCCATTGAAAGGCGATAGCTATGATCAATTTTGAAGACAGCAAACATATTTATCTGGTCAAATGAGCAGATAACCCAGTAGTAACGCTTCAAAGAACCCACAAAGCATATTACGATTTCCAAATTCGTGGGGGTAGCCGAGACGAAAATTGGGGGCACAGTAGTTTTTTGGGTTCAACAGTATTTGTTAAATTTTACCATTCTGACGTCTAGCAAATACATTCTGCTGGTGGGGTATGCCCGATTAGGCTGAGTGGAGCAAAACTAACGCGTACCTTATTCAGAAAGCAAATAAGGATCCTCATGTAAGTCCGGTAAAGTTGAAGCTTGATTTCAGTGACCTCGTAAGTAGCATGTTACATCCAGGTAAAAAGGAACAGCTACTTAGCGAACCACTACATATAACCGCTTACGACAAGATGGAAATGATAGTTTTATTGAGATATCCGACTAGGTGCATAATTTATGGTACACGGAATTAGTAACGAGAACACGTTTTCCATTGATTCTTTTGATGTGGCAGAAACATGATTTTCCATTGGGTTGTAACTAAACTTTAGCTGTCCTTGGATGAGCCTCATACTCAAGTTGTGTGCACAGATGCCGCGGAATATCGTCCGCAAACAAAAGGAATCACATGTTGCAGTCATTTATCCAGTTGAATCTGCCTATCGCAAAACGGTGTGGTTAACAATGGAGTAAATCTTACGTATTTTTTCTTCACGGAGTGCACGCCCATTATGTAGTCAGTAAACACAGAATATCTGCAAACAAGTTAATAATGGATGTTCATTTTTTGTCACAACCGCATGAAATCTGCGAACTAATAGCAATAATTCATTCACAGGCTCGGTGTCCAGTGGGTATGGCGGAAAATTAAGCCGATCCAAAGCTAAGAGGCTGACCTGCTGTGATCCATCCAGAATTATTTTCCCAGAACAAGGATCCGTGAGCTGCGCGACGGAATGAATCCAGCAAGTGGTTTGCTTGGATCGTTAGGCCCACTAAACCGGGTCAAATGTCAGTCAACATAATCAGTTAATAGGCGGATGCAACCTGTAAACTCGTTGCCGCACAACCATGATTTATTTCAAAACCTTATTGTGAAGAAAATAATAAAAGTAGGCGATGTGAAGGACTTATTTGTAGCCTACCAATCATTTCGAGGTGCCTACACCTCTGGACACTCACTCAGGCAGTCTAATTATATAAACTGACAGCAATAATGTCACGATCTAGCCTAAGTAGTTGAAAAATTCACTCCTGCAAATATTATGAATAACCATGAACATGTAATCGGTATCAACAGATTTTGCGGGAGATTTAAGAAATCTGACTTTCTGAAGTCGTCAGGTTGCTCAGTGGTAAACAGAGTATTCAATCTTCTGGTTGACTAGTGAAAAAAGGCGTTCCTTGGTAAGCAAGCGAACAGATACCGTGTATTGGGGTGTCTGGCATCGCGAAAGCTTACGTACACCGATTTTTTCAAATTAGACTTTGATCTCAGCAAACGATTGGAAAACTACTAAGGATTGTTGGTATTAGTTACACTTCGCATCCACCAGAAGCGCAAAAGGCCATAGCACGTGCGTTGTGGTGTACGGAAACCGAATGTCATTTAACGGTGAAAATTTGGTGACCCTACGCCGGAAGAAAGTCGAATTATTCGTGAGAAATGGATTGGGCTTCACAGTACTTTGCCGTGCGAGGAAATCTCTAGCTGATTCGTTTACTGGACGCTGAACCTCCTCTCCCACCGATGGACATCAGCCATTTTTAAAAGAACAAGGATCGAATGTCTCGACTGATGCACTCAAAGGCTCCAAGGCTACAAACGGCTCCTCAAATTTCAAGAGAAGTTCATGAAATTCACAGTTAGCGAATAAGTGTTGACTGGTAGAATGGTATGCACCGCTTACTACAAACAGGTAAGGAAAAAGGAGCCCAGTTAACTCCCGATTTTTACTCACTGCAACGTGTAGACTTGCGTTCCATGTGGGGAGATGCTGCAATAGGAACCGTACGTTCTGGGCGAAGGAGTGGCTTCGCTACAAATATCATCAAAACATTATCCGTGGTTGAGTGCACAAAGTTAAGCTTTAAATGCGTCTTTAGGTTGTGGTGTACAATGTTCGATTACTCGTTATAGAAAGCTCTAACATGAAAATTAAATATAACCGACGAAATGATTTGTTTTCTGTCTGGGACACATCAAACAAGTTGAGGTCTGCTAACGCTATTTCCGCGCGAAAAAAATCAGAATATCTGTTTAATACTGCCACTATGCTGAACATAGTAGTCAGGTGGAACAGATCCAAACAGGAAAAAATGCCATACCCACTCATGCATGCTGGTTTGTACAGACGGAAACAGCTGCATACTGCACCTCAGTGCCAGTTTACCGCAAGAATATCATACGTGTGATGTTCTGAAACATCACATCCGTATGTAGACAGCCACGAACAAACTTGACTACGTCCGGAAGTCTCTACAAGGCTTGCGCTGTCACGTTTGTCTAGTTGCAACCGGTTCGTTTGCTTCCCACAGTAGTGATGTGACCCTTTCTGTCCACAAAGATTCTGTCTTGAGTATGGTGGCACGTTTTAGAGAGGGACGAGTTATGTAATGCAATGGGCGCTCACAGCCTTAGGTCGCATTATAAGGATTTATCCCACGCTGGGAAGGGGTAAAGTATTAGTTGGGATTGTTGACGTGACTAGAGCTATTGACATGCCAAGTTATTCACAAACTCCCAGGAATGGAGCATGCCGATTGCGTCATACGACCAATGAACTCAACAATCACAGTGTTGACCAAGGTCTGCCCTCTCAGAAACTGAAAATTGTCCATATAAGTCACCACGGATATTTTTAAAAGAGACGAACAGACAGATGCAGAGCAAATCACAGGAGTTCAGCAATCGGCAAGTCAAGGTGAATGTCACGTGCAAACACATGGGGAGCGCAGAAGTAACAGACAGGCATCAGGAATGTGATGGACCTTCATCCGCACCGGATCCTGAGCCCCAAAGCCATCCGCGTACGAGACCGGACAATCCAGAAGTACCTTTGGACATGCCGGTGCTTGTTTTTTCCGTTAGTGAAGGGAAGTTGATATGATTAAGAGCCAAGTCGAAAAATATCGGCTTGACGGGAACGGGCTCGAAATGTGGAGGGAGTTGGACGAACGGATAGGGTTGAGTAGTAAATGACTTTTCCACGACGTTGCATTCGACATAGTGATCCAAGCGATCTAGAAGAACCTAAAACAAAGACAAGACAAAGGCACCGATTGGCATCAATACGGTTTCTCGGTGATGATTCATAGTCCTATGTTTTCGGGACCGATCAAACAGCAAGAGTAACAATTGGTCTATTGGCTCCAGACCATGACAGAAATTCCGGGAGCGCAGCGCAGCACAGACCAATCCGACTTCCTCTGATGACATCGACAATTGAAAAAAAAATATAAATTCCACCTCGTAACATTGCGAAAATCCGTCAATTTGGTAATAAGGGAAATTCTCCTTGAGTCTAAACACCGGAAAAATATGAAATATGTTGCGATTAAACATCTGTTTCAAAAGCCCAGAATGATCGCTGCTGAAGAAACCCGATTTAACATTAGCAGATGCATACGAGAGTATGATCACATCTGGAAATCCGGTAGCTAGCGACCTGCCTTCAATGGGCAGTTGGTGAAGAAACGCTGGCTGAAGAATTGTACTTCTCAGTCCATGAAGCAGTAATTTAAGCTTAGCTCCGATAGTCATCACATGGAATTCAAACTTCTGAAACTTTTTTAACCTTTCAAAGCAAACCACCTTGGGAAATACGTGGAACTGTCCTAAGCGTAAAAGTCCTACAAGAACTTCTACGATTATTTAATTTACAAACCATTGTCATGTACAGCCAACGATGCTAGCAGGAAAAGGTGAAAAAGGGCCATATGATCTGGCAGCGGTTTTGGGTCACTCGCTCAAGCACTGAGTTCCACTCGGAATTCACAAGTAAACACATTTGAATACCCACAGATTACAGAGCTCGAAGATTTAATCCAAATATGATGGTCGGCAAGCAGATGTTCTCGAGTTCTCGGACTGATAAAGACAGGTTACACAAAGCCACAGAGATGTCAACCAACATTTGTCAGTTGCTTCCACTACATTTTAAGCATCTCTCGCCTCAAAAAGCCACGGTCATCAGAATAGGTATGATAATTACAAAGATATTACCGGCCACGTCGACCAGCATCCAGAGGATTATAGGAACTATTTCGCCTTAGTATTAAAACATCTTCTCACGTCTGTAGACGAGCTCATATTACATAATTCCTGCTAATGACATTTGTCCTTTTTCAGTTAAGGAAATAGTGCAAACCTATTTCAGATTGCGGTCGTTCACACGGTCTTCAGAAAACTGATATTATTTTGTAACCACTTTACACGTATTTCACTTGGTTGGTTTATGGTACATTCGACTCCCCATTATTTTGATTGCCCTCCACAAAAACTCACGAGGTTAGCTTCACCTTCCACCGTTACATTCGTCTTGATTAATTTCTGCTGTGTCAATGGCTCAAGGGTAGGGGTCTCACGCGTTCTGACGACTTCCTTCATAAGAACACTGTCGAATTATGCAGTACTAGGATCAACCACGTGACATATAGTTGTGGATAGTCCCACCCTCATTTCCCTGTTCACATGATGTCTGATGTCAGTCAAATCAAGTTTGCACATGAATCAACCATAGATTTATACAATCGGTGACGACAGTACATAGTCGCTAGGTTATCATGAATGACTGTGATTCTGTGTGTAATATATACTGTTTGCACAAATCGGTTCCCATTTTACTCAGTGCGCATCAGTCCCCCGTATAATCAGTTCGGCACAAACATGTTTTCATAATTAACTCTTCTAGATAAGCTAGGGACACCGAACTGATCCGGGGTGCGGTCCATCAAAGCTCAAACTGCTCCAATAGAGTCCAAGGCTTTGTAGGACATGGCAGTTAAGTGCCGCTATCTGCCAAAAATGAAGCTAGGGTAAATAAAAACTACCCTTGATCCTAACTGAGTTGGACTTCAAACTGAGCTCTTTGACCAAGGCCGATATCGTCGGATACTATAGTCGTATGTGTCTAGTTCTGTTACCAAGCGTTAGATGAAGTGTAACAGCATGTGTGCTTCAAGAGTGACAGAAGCAACGTCCGAGAGACTTACAGCATACGGTCGAAAATATGCATAAGCCTCTAAGGAGATACTAAAAGAACATATCTGCGCGGGTTGTACGACATTTTCAGCACTTTTAAACAGCACATCGTCCCACAGATGGCAAAGGATTTACTGACGAGAAGTTCCATCCGGAGAGCGAGAACGAACGGAACTGTTCGTGGCATGACAGTCGGAAACCGTAAAAAGAGTTAAACGAAAAGGACCACATTAGTTGATAAAAAAGCCAGAGAGCTCCACAGGAAGCGATGACGAACACGCTCAAAAACTACCTTGTAACCTGAATACATGACGGTTGAGCTAGAGACCTAATATCCTGGGTTAAATGTCTATTATGCATTCGGTTGACTTAACAAAAGTACGGAGAAGTCGCATGGTAGACACATGAGTGACCAAATTATATCCCTGGTGGCTGTTCTCAATAAGCTAAGGCCAAAAATAGAACATACAGCTCAAGCATCAATGCAGCGTGCTGTATATGCTGTAAATCTATTGCCCAAAGCCCCATATGCTAAAGGAACGTAGGCCTTGTGGGGTTTCGCGTGGATGTTGAGTATCACATCTGCAGTCCGATTCGGATTGCTCTCTAGTTAAGTTATAGATTCGTCCGTAACCAAAAGCAACGTCTTTCCAACTATTTGCCACTGTCATCAGACTTCAGCCGACTCAGATCTCTGGGTTCCTCGCCTCATGAAATTACCATATTAAACACTTAGGACAAGGGACAATCGTCACCGTTGGTTGCACACGAGTTCCACAAGAATGGATATGTTTCACACGGACTGCGGGAACTTCGGCCGAGTTGTCAATATGATTGGGAATTCTAGATTCCCCATCAGCTTCACAAGTAAGCAAGGTATTTTGGGCGCAGTATTTGTCACGTCTCCAAATAATCTTATTCCAGCAGATTCCTTGTACACTATTCAAAAGAGGACCGAACTTTTCGTATGTTGCGGCCCTCATGTCTTGCTTGTTCTGAGTAGTCCAGTAGCGCGATACAATAACCTGTAAAAGCGGATGATCGGATGAAATATAGACGCAGGGAGCATGAAATTCGCAAAACCACTCAACGAACGTGGGCGGAACGTCTTAAGATTGTGCGAGGACGGGTTTGTGTCGTAAAAAACATCCGATGACATAATAATTTCAACGATAGATCACTGATGCCGTGCACTACCAGCGACTAAATTACGCCATGCATTACTGCCTTATTGCTTAGTTATGTAACTGTTACTATGGTTGTGCCAGAGATAAGAATGGCTAACAATTCGGATTGGATTTTCTACATGGTCTGGGTTGAGGCTACATAGTTGTTTCAAATTCTTCAGTCGATTGCTTCTGCGATGAATTGATGTGCGACAAACTGACTGTTCGATGAATGGACCGTGTGGGAATTGATATGCAATGCAACGGTTGTGCGATAGCTCATTANNNNACGGTTGTGCGAATAGCTCATTATGCGAGCGGTTCACACGCAATGGACTAACCGTAAGCCAAAGTTAGCCGCAGTTGGCTTTACATGTATTTTCTTTCTATGATGCCGAAAGGTCATATCGGAGCGTCACCTCCTCAAATAGATGCACTAGGGATCCGGTTTGAGTGAGGAAACCGATACATCTCTGGTCTATCAGCCTACAGTCGCTGGCCTATGCTGGTGTAGTGGCCACAAAGGAATTCGACAACGTCACAGCCACTCGTACGACACATCACACTAACCCGTGAGGTTTCGGGGACGAAAGATGAGGGTGTTGTTATAAAGGGTGATGGTATAGCGGGCCAGGATATGCGAACAACCCATATGTACACAGCCGTACACATTTGAAAAGGAGCGTAATTTATCGAACGCTGGATTTGGTAATGATTTAACGCCTCAGAACCAAAGTCCAGAACAGAGCTATATAGTAGTAGAGTAAGATGCTAACATTAGGCGGTAAGACTAAGTGAAAGTACGACAAAACTGTGCGCATACCTTTTGGCTCAATTTGTTCTCCGACTCTGAAGTATCGAACGGTCGATCACCGGAATCCGACAGATCGAGCATGTAGACTGCGCGACAAGTCAGATCCTCAGCCTCAGTTTGCGTGATCAAGGAAGTGAGTTCGGTAATCAGTTGATCACAGGGTGGACCGGGACTAGCGGCAGATTCGTCATCAGTCCATGAGGCAGTAGTGGGAGAGAGGGCTTGCAAAGCCTCCTCCGCGTGCCGTCTTGACCGTTGCAACAGTGCCGAGCACTCAGCGAAACGCTTGCCGTGGATGTAGGTGAAAGCTAGGTAGTAGCACCTGGAAAGAAAACAACAATGAAATCGCGAAAAAATAGGTTGTGTTTCCTGAATCGGAACTTCTTGGCACCCATACCAGAGGAAATGCCACAAACATAACAATACAAAAGAAAGTCCTTCAAACCGAGTAAGTTTATCTCTATAAAATACTCATAGTGCACCATTTACTTCACGCAAGTGACTTAACTCGCATGGGTCATTCTTGTTCCGGATAGGGTGTCCGGGAAGTAAAAAACTCAAAATCGTCGAAGGGATTCAGTGTATACTACTACTTGACTGCGTGATATTTTTCACAGACTAATTTTTTTCTTTCTGATTCTGTCGAACGACAAAGATCTTCCATTGTTTCAAGATGACTCATATCATCTTCAGTCACGTTAGATTTGATAAGCGACTGAATCTCCACACTTCTTCACTAATAAGTCCACCCACAATTTTTATAAAACCCAGCGAGCTGCACGGGATTAGAACTAACCAATACGATGAAAGCCCTATCCACAGTAACCGCCTGTGTTGGGTCAGTGGATTTCTTGACTCAATGGTCAACTAGCCATCATTCCGACTTTGCCTCATTAATGATGGTTTTTTCTATTGCCCATATCACAATCAATAGTTCGAATTCCGAGCACTCAGACTGTGGGGCCTTACGTTTGCAGCGCACACCAGACAACACTGGATCAGAATACAAGACAGGTGTGTGTAGAATAACCGATGTTTCGAATAGCGACTGGAACAGTGGGTCCGACAGACTACCGAGCTGCTCTAGTCGTAAGTTTCGTTCTACCATTGTTCCAGTTACTTATGAGTAGGCCAAACAATGATAGAAGTATTTACACACAACACACTTGAGTGCCTGAGAACATCATAAACGAGAGACTCAACTGGGTTCCAGGTGAGTCTCTCGAACCAAATTAGTTTGGAAATGAGTGTATATTCGCTACACTTGAGTGGCCTTACACGAACAGTCGGTAACAGGTACAAGTCACAAACTTCACAGCAGCTGCAGAAAAACAAAGAAAAATAAAGCTCGCTGATGAGCTTAGAACTGGAAAACGAACTTGTCTCCCACATGTATGAGAAGATACGCAAGAAATAGAAATCAGAGTTATGGGGCAAGTTCTATGTCCCTCCACCTCCAAAGAATTAATAAAATCATCATCATCATCATCATCGATAGCATGACATTAGTGTTCAACACTGATGCTTCACTGCCGTAATGGAATAAAGACGGGATAAACCCAATGGCGAACAGGATTAAGAAAGAGAGAATTCGCCATAAAAAACTCACCGGTAGCTGCGATAGGCAACTATTTTCGCCTGGAGCAATGCCTTAAGACCCATACGCTCCTGCACCGCTCCAGGAAGACCTATCAGTTCTTGTAAATTCTGAACCAGTGTGTCGTACAGCCTGGAGAGTTCTTGTGGCTTCGGAAAGGAACTTGTCCCAAGTCCATCCTTCACGTGCCCAGCAGCTTCGAGACCATCAGCGGAAAGTGCCCCTTTGATATGCAACAACGTACGTTCAATCGTTTTCGAAATTTTTAGATATTGCAGGTAGGCATAGAGAACTTGGAGACGGGAGACCTAAGGGAGCAGGGGGACGGCGGATTATACAACGTTCACGGTAATCAATAAGAAACTCTGACGTCATTATGTTGAATTTATACCAAAAGGACTTTTCCCATCAGGTTTACCTGATCAACTAATGCTACCGGCAAAAAAATACTCAACATAATTTGGAGAAACCCGAGAGTAGACCTAGAAAATATTCAGATTAACAAAGCCCTTGTCTTACCCCATTGTGCAATCTATTAAAAATGAACTACTGGTTGACCATGGGACTCGAGTAAAGAAAAACCTACTTTGTCGGTGGAGCTGGATGCAGCAACTGCGGCAGCCATCTTCTTGTCTGCACCGGCTGCAACTGCCCCTTCCGTGGACAGTGTAGCACGAATTTCATCTCTGACCGCACCGATAGCATCAACACAGGCTTTCAAAACAGATTCGTAGACGGACAGCTTCGTATTGTGATTATCCATTCCTAGAAGCTCCTGATCCGAATCCTACGCGTAGAAAAATGCAGTGAAGTGGCGCAAAAACGAACATACGTTAGGCAAATGGCACAGGAATTTACATCTCTTTACAACCCAGTCTGAGAAGTAACGTGAGAGCTATCTGAATAATCTGAAAACTTGAAGTGGATGATACAGCTGACTAGCTTGCTCACGTGCCGGACAGACTTGGCAGAAGCAACAGTCAGGTAAACTACAGTCCTAAAATTTATCGAAGGAACACAGGCTACTGACACATTTCGGCTGCTGAAGAGGGTATTGGAAAGTGTGAAACATTTTATGATCAACCGTCGACTTGCATATAAAATCACCTATGTCGTCACCGGCGGTGGGTGGGTGGGACCGTTGAAGAGAACCTGAAACTAGAAACCAAAGAATCATATGTCCTCTTCCTGTGGTCGAATGTTTTGGGATCTAACCCCATCTCTGATGAAAGATGCGATCAAACTGGCCAGATCCAGCGCAAGGACTATTCAAAATATTCTGACGATGTACCAGTAGTCAGAAGACTGCCTGGTTGTTCAGGCCATATCTCACGTCGAATTGACATTTAATTCGTTATGCCAGTGACAGAACGCGCTGTGAGATTCATGCTTTCTACAAAATATTTTTAACGGCCAAACATTACATCAGATAACATGGGTTTCAGGGAGGTATGTGCCGAAAACAGTCAAGTCGATAAAGAATAGAAACAGACATACAATCCAGCCAAGGTAACTGAATATAAAATCTTCTTCTTTCGATCGATAACGCCAACGGCTAGAAAGATTGAGCCTCTTCAAAAGTCCCGCAAAGAAGTCGGAAGACACGCAGTCAACAAAAAAAGATGCTGAAACGTATCTGATCCATCTACGTCCGAATAGGATGAATGGTCCCGAATAACTGAGACTCTCGGGAGCCTGTTAACCATGACGAAACGTTGGCACTCGTTCGCACATTCCTATATTGAGGTGAAAACTTCTGAGTTGTTCCCGAGAGCTCGCCACTTCGATTAAAGCACTGTACCTTTCGTGCTTAGAGATAGGTACTTAAGTTTTCGTCATTTTCTGCCAACTGTGGTTTATAGCAAACACTTCAAATTGCATTTCAATCGGTCGAGTAAATTAGCTCAATCATTATAGTGTCAGTCCCAAAGGTGCCGTGGAGGGCGGGGAATGGAAGCCACCAAACCTGCATAAAGATTATTAGTTGGTTCTACCAAACCTATTCGACTACATACCGGTTTATGGGAGAAGGGTTTAACAGATGTGATTGTCTGGTCAGAGGGCATTTTCACATGTTCTACAAGATATCTAGTACCCAAATTAGCTCTCTCGAAACACCAGTGTGAATCAGACACCTGAGGGAATGAATCATCCATTGACTTATCAACAGAAAATGAGAAACCGTGAAGTGGATCGGTTTCAAACTTCAATTAAACTTACTGCACGAAAATACACAAAATGCTTTAAATAAAAGGGTGTCTAAACAGTTTTAGAAATCACATTTTCAGAACTCATAAGAAAGCCAGCTTATTTTGGACGATGGCAGCAATACAGTGCCTGAAAAATGTTCCACAATGTCTTGAATAATGAAGATCTAACGAAGTGGATATTGACAACAAGTGCAAGCTCCGACAGTTTCATTAGTTATATCAATAGTTATATCATATCATATATATATGCATATATCATACATATATATATATATATAGTTAAAATAGCCCCACGAAGTTACGCCCAAGAAACACTGTCGCTTCTGGTTAAGGAGCAGAAGAAATGTTAGATTCGTTTGATACTGTGCTCTCCCAGCAGAAATATGGTTATTGCATGCACGATTTCAGTTTGTTGTCATAAACTGTTGCGTTAAGTTTGTGTATCCACTTTTCGAAAATGAGCATTGTGTAGACATCTCAAATGGTACTTCCTGCCAAAAAAGCCTGCGAATCTTAGATCGATGGATTTGCGGCGTTAAACCGCCTCACACGACCTGGTATTCTTGCCTCGTTATACATATATATATATATAGAGAGAGAGAGAGAGAAAGAAAGAGAATAACGGACTCTATCCTGATACTACAAATTTCGGAATGTGGCTCACTCTATACTCAGGAATTCAAAGTTGCAACGTATAAAATCTAGATTCTATGTACCAACGGATCTGTATCCCGATGCACGTCATGTATTGTTTCTCTTTGGCCTGTTGTCTACGATATCTACGTCACACACAATATGTACCTTCACTAATGTAAGACACATGTTCGAAAGGGAGCAGACTGTCACCTCTCTCATCTACCAGCTCAAACTCGACTGTTCTTTCCCATCTCAAACATGCCAGCTCTGGGTTCGACAGCGGAAAAAATGAGAAACTACTTCAAGCCAAACATCAAGAGTGTGGTACTTGTGGTGACAACATACCGCTTATCAACTGGTTCTTCTACGGTACAAGCGGCAACATCCTCAGCAGGCGTGGGCACTTGTGGAAAAATAAACCAATTTAAAAAAACGAAATATTGGACGTCACTGAACGATATCTTAGCTGCACACCCGCTCATAAGCGGTTTGAAACGGGGCAATAAACCTGACCCTTGTAGGAGCTGGTTCAAGCCTTAGTAACAAGGGATGGATACAAAGGTTACGCTAGTAGCCTTAAGAAATCTCTGTGGATGATGTCATGATCGATGAAGATACCTTCGCAGTGGACATCAAGAAAGCTGTAAATAATCGCTCGCACGAACTAATAGTGAGAAGTCTGTAAGGTGAAAACCTGCAGGGCAAGAAAGTCATGGTTTTCCTTCATTTTTCAGTCCAAATTGTTCGCACCCAAAACTTATGAAGTGGTCGTTCCAGTGTAGGGCTTCCCTATGAACAACTGACAACAAAGTCATAGTAAAATCGGGGGGGGTGGGGGGTGAACGTACCTTCACTGTTAGAATCGCCATTTTGGCTTTTTCTAGTTTCACTGGAATCGTCATTCCTAGCCACTCTACTTCAGTCACCTGACCTGCTTGGCTTGCTCGCGCCTGACTCAGCAATTGATCAAGCTGCAACTCTGCCAACCCACCAGTCTCCGTAGTAGTTTGGGCACGCATGCGTTGCAAGTCCGTTGCTGCCGACTTATCACCAATATTATAAGCACAATAGTGAATTTGGGGTAGAATGTCATCAACCCGGGAACTGTACACACCACGATTGTCCTCCTCGATGGTCTGCATCAGACCTGCATAAATAGCCTGTGTGGCCTCAAGAAATTCCTTGGCTTTCATCCAGTCCTTGAAAAAAAAACATAAATCAGTTAGGCTATCAAAAAGAGACGTCTATAATCAATTGTGCAATAGATGGCCACATGCAGTAAACAATACACAAGCTAGCAACCATGTTCTGATCACTGAAGGTATTAATCCAGCCCAGTACATAGTCAAACAGAAGATTCATGCACTGGAAATCACAGTGCTATAATCCGTGACATTAGTGTTATGTATGTATGTGTTGTATCGGAACGGGTACAATCAACAACTATATGCGACCTGAGAACGAGCTACGGCACGAGCCCAACCACTTCTAGTGCAGAGAGAGAAGGCTGGACCTCTAGAGAAGGGCTTTTGCTGCTTCAATCAAAGGCGAAGTGCAGCGGGAGCGCCGTCGAATATATTTCTTGAGTGACCTTGGGGAACAATAAATTCGCTAGCGCACACAAAGTTCAACTGGCCAATAGAAAAGAGGCACGATCTTTCTGGATTGAGGCGCAACATGGTTGAAAAGGGCGCGAAATTTAAAAGTTGAAATTTTTAGAGAGTAAAATTGGCAATAACTCGAAAAATAAACGGTTTCTGATATCCCCAACACTCTCCCTTGGGGAAAATTCAGCAACGGGCCTTTCTGGGTTTCATTTGGAAAGCGGTCGTTTGGCGTCAACGGCGATCTGTCCATCTTCTTGGAAGAAGATTCGGTTCACTGGTTGAAACCCTGTGTCACCGGCCGCGTTGCATCAGGTGTGATCGCCATGAGTTGAAACATGTCAAGGAGAACGTCGAGCGGAAGGTCGTTGTGGTGCGCTGGTGGCTCCGAGAGATGGCATGAACGCAGTGGATTCTTGAGTCGCGTCCAAATATCTGGGCCAACAGAGACGTCATACATTACGCTCCAGCGCTTCCGCAAGACGTGTCCTTGGGTTCGTGCCTTGGTCGATAGTCCAGCGCAAAAACAATTGCATCCAGGTCAAGTTGGGCGGCTTGGTGTTCACGGTGGGCCGGGAACGAGCTGTTGGTGTCGGAGACATGACAGAATTGATAGTTCACAATTTTCAGTCCACGAGAGCTTCAGCAGGTGATTTCCGGTCCTCCAAAGAGTTATTTGGAGTGGTCCGATAGACAAGAAGAAATATCTGAAAGACTTCGACGGATGTCCCCTCCCCTCGAGATTTGAGCAGGGCCCGCTTGAACGTACTGACAAAACGTTCTGCCCGACGGTTTGACTGTGAGTGGTACGGTGGCGAGTGATGGCGTTTCTCCGGCAGAACTCTTGGAAGCAGCTGGAGCTGACCTGTGATCCATTGTCCGATACTTAAGTCTCCGGCAGGTCGTGCTGGCTGAATAGCTGAGACAGGGCTCGTGGTGTTGGGTGCCGTTGGCTAGGCACAACTTCTGGCCACTTGGAGAAGGCGTCAACCAGATGGGGCATGTTACACCATCAATAGGGCCAATGTAGTCGACATGCATCCGGGACCAGGGGCGCTCGGGTCGGGCCAGTAAGCGTAACTACAAACGATTGATTTCATCCGGTTTATTCAAAGATACCCCGGATGAAACCGCGTCAGGACCTGAAGGCGTGGCATCACCACACGTTCTCCAAACATGAGGCAGTCGCCAACAATAGACTAGAAATCCCGACGATGGTAAAGAGGTTGGAGATCGTCGTCCGGGGATTTTGTCGGCCAGTGTCCTGAGGAAATGGATCGCCTGTTGAACAGTTGCATGGGGGGTGAGCACGAATTAGCTGACCGGAAGGTCCGTGGTTCGAACCCGACCTCTGCCTCTCAACTTCCCTTGTCCAGGTTTGGGCAACCTGGCAGTATCCCAGCCCTCGTGCAACCTTCGGGTGGCATGGCAACTAGGCACCGAAAGGGGGCTACACCTGAACAATCCGGTTCGATAGTCGCATCAGCCGAAGTTTCGCGCTAGATATCCGGTACAGTCACTGGTAACGCACGGACTGCTTCGAGCAGCAGCTGGCTGGCGTGGTCATCAATGGACAAGGCAGCGACAACGGAATCCCCTTCTGGGGCAGTATGATTGATCAGTCATGAGAGTGCATCCGTTCGGGCGTAAATTTCCGTACGTCGATACTGGATTTCGAAGTCTAGCCGAGCAAGGTGAGAGCCCACCGTTGAAACCAGAGATGATAGTGTCCATCATCTGCCGGAAGATCACAGGGGTCGTCATAACCCCAAATGGTAGACATTTGTACTCGTACAGGCCTCGATGCATGTTGATGGTCAGCAGAGATCGGGAGTCCGGCGAAATCTCGATCTGCAAATATGCCCACCCCAAATAATAACGATAAAACACGTCCCCCGGAAAGATACTTTGGACGGGATTCACCCAGCAGAGGAAAACCGCTTACCAACTTTTCGGAAGGGAAGACACAAAAAGAGTTGTGGGTAGCACTTTCTAAAAGGTTCAAGCAAAATGACTTGAGTACAGAATCTAAAAAAACAGCGAACCAGACTCGGTGTTGAATAGAGTAGGTGAAAAGCAAGACCGATTCAATCGACAAAGTGGACAGTACTCTCACCTTTCATCTTTCACTAGCCGCAACAAAAGAACAGAACACGACCATGTTGGTGAAAATCCATTTCACATAAAATGAATCACGAGATCTACGATTACCGGAGTTGCTGGGCTGACCATTGTAATAAATAGGAACAATTATTCAAGGTAGAAATCTATAATACATAAAAACGCTCCACGACCTCCAAAGTACAAACCTGCAGTTCGAACGCAAGCACGCCGTGGATCCACTGAATGTAAGCTTGCAATTCCAGTTTGGTTTGAGCGTCTAACATTGGCAACTCCGTAGCCAGCTCGGACAGTTGATTTCCTCGAAGTACCGCTTTCCGCAAACGTGATATCATTTGAAAACGTTTTCGGAACTCAGTGTTGGAGTCGGCCTTCAGTTGCATCGCATAGGCCCACGATCGTTCGATCTCAAAAACTTTTAGAAGAAGGAACCGTGGGTCGGTGACCATATCCGATGTGAGCTTCTTGGGCAGCACTTTCGACCGGTTACCCTACAGAATAAGTAAGGTGGCCGAGAGATACGAAGCCGTAAAAAACATGCATACCTGTTGAAAGTGCAGCGATTTGCGCATTCGTCTCAGCTTCCTAGATACATATTGATGGTAACGCTGATAATCCCCATGCCGAAGACCATGCTGCTGCTGAGCCGCTTTCACGAGCGCCAATACTAAAGGAATTAGACAGAAAAAGGCGAAATACGAGTGTCACGCAAAGCAATAAGCGGATTAGAAACGCACTTCGCCAGATCAACTACGACTATAACGAGCCAGTCATATAAAGAAAAACATTCGAAATAAAAAAGCACGAAGGCCAGTCTCCATGGTTAATGGCTCAATTGGATAGATCGCGAATTTATTAGCCGGAAGATCCATGGTTCGAACCCGACCTCTGCCTCTCGACTTCCTCTGTCTAGGATTAAGCAACCTGGCAGTATCCCAGCCCTCGTGCAACTTTCGGGTGGCATGGCAGCTAGGCGCTGGAAGGGTGCTACAGCTGAACGATTCATTATATATGATTTTAGGTAAATTTCGTCACACTAGCCAGTATCAGTTGACTGCAGACAACCCATTCAGCTGTAACACCTTCCGGTGCCTAGCTGCCATGCTACCCGGAGGAAGCACGAGGGCTGGGATAGTGACATGTTGCCCAAGCCTAGACAGAACCATCGACACCTAGTGGGTCAAAAAACTGTATTGCTCAGAGAAAGCTGGCTGAATGATGGGGCATGAACTAAAAACGGCGTACCAAGGTAGTGCCCTTCGGTGCCTCGATTATTTCTTCATACGAACAAGTAGGGAGAGTTGTCCATTGAAGGCAGTATCAGTTGACTGCAGACAACCCATTCAGCTGTAACACCTTCCGGTGCCTAGCTGCCATGCTACCCGAAGGAAGCAAACAACTGTTCAGATTGTCTTGATTTTTAGAGGTGGCAAGCTAGCATCATGTCACATTCCTGTTTCACTCATTTCTTCTGCAATGACGATGTACCTTGAAGTGATAATGCAGCAGGCTGCTATACCCACAGCGCAGTTCAGAGCCTGAGGGCTCAGACTGAAGGACCTTTACCAATCTGCGAGAATGAAACCACTACACAAGATTCCAGAAGCGTCAGCAATAAAGAAAAGTCGGAAAACCAACGAAGAATCAGTTCTGCGCACCACATTTTGGCAAGAAGCTGACAGCTAGGAGGAAGCGGTAGTGAGGCATCGGTGTTGAACACGGATGTCATGTTGTCGATGATGATGATGACGCTAGGAGGAAAACCTTACCGAAGAGCGGCCCACTGAATCCTGAACAGAACTAATCGCTCCATCAAGTGTTCACAGACAACCAAATCAAAAGAAAAGCACAGCGGATAGTCTCAGGTGAACTGGGTGGTCCGGACAAATCTGTCCAACCAAGAGAAGCCATTCACACAGGGACTGAAAATCAGGAGAGGCCACCTTCGTAAAAATGTCGCATTACTATAGAGGAAAATGTCGGTAGCTCAAGTAGCTTAGATGGTCGTTCGTTTGTTCACTGAGCTTAACAATTTGATTGACATCATCAGTGCATTGCTAGGTCCGTAGCGCACCATCACGCTCCCTAACATTATTACCATGATCAGTATCAGCTGTAAAAACCGTATATTTGTCGTACGGTGGTCCTAACTGCCACATTTCCGTTCATTGGGGCGAGATGGCCCAAGTGGTTAGAGCGCGAATTTATTGACCGGAAGGTCCGTGGTTCGAATCCGACCTCTGCCACTCGACTTCCTCTGTCTAGGCTTGGGGAACCAGTCAGTATCCCAGCCCTCGTGCTTCCTTCGGGTGGCATGGCAGTTAGGCACCGAAAGGGTGCTACAGCTGAACGCTTAGGGGGTTGGGTAGGTAGCTGCGCGTTGAAGGGGAAAGCTGATATAATAGATGTGTAAACACAGAGTTGTCAGTGGGAATTTACGTGGGGACATTTGGGAGGGAGCTATGCATTGAAGGCAATAGCTTGGATGCATGAGCGCCACTGAGGGAACGACTGGGCCATGTCTGGGCAATCTGATTGCTGCCCAGCTCAGCGAACAAGCCAATGATCATCTACGCTACCTGAGCTACCAACATTTTCCTCTATAGAGAGCCACCTATGCTATGATCAGTTCATCTATCGTGGGTAACTTCTTTCAAAAGCAATTTGATGTACTTCATATCAATAACGAAGTCGAAGAGGAAAGATCAAAGAGAACAGTCCTATCTGACACCACTTGATGTGGTGGACTCAGGCGAGAGCTTCCCGTAGACCTTCAAACGGCCGCGCGAATTGGCGTACAGCGCATTAAGGATGGTCAAGAATTTATGGGGGACACACTTACTCCAGACTACCACAGTGTCTAATGGTCCACAGAGTCACAGGCGGCTTTCAGACCAAGAAACACAACCATTGTTGGCTGCTGGAATGTGTTACTGCTCCAGAAACTGTCAGAGGGTGAAGATATGATCTATGCATCGTCTTGCAGAACAATGCCCAGCCTGGTTTTCTCCCTGCGTTCAGTCAACCTTCGAAGGATTAGACCACAGAGCACTTTTGATACCACAGCCAATAGGCTGAAGAGACTGGACCTTATCGTGGTGTGGCCGTTTGTGCACCTCGGCGACCCATTGAGCTATACTGGGGGGTGTCCGCGCGACACTCACAGAGTCTTTCATACCAGGTTGGTCAATGGTTAGAGGTCTGACGAACACAGTCTCCTGGCCCTCCAGGTTGGGGGTTGGAACATGTGGCGACTTGTTCCGTAGAAATGGTAATGCATTTGCATTTCCCGCCAAACACCGCTGCCTTGCGGTTAGGCTTTTGAGCCAAAGGCTTTGGTTGAGGACCATAATCCTCCCCCTGTCTAGGTGTGGGCGCCCTGGCAGTATCCCAGCCCACGTACAACCATGAATAGCACATACACAA